CAGAAGGTTACAAAAGTGGATCACGTGAGCCCCGGGACCGTCATAAATACGAGTCAGTTTGTGATGACCCAAAGGGGCGCGGCACAAAGGCAACACAGCCAGATAATCCGTAGGAGTCCTTCTATTAGCTCCCAACTTTGCCCCCCGATATCCTGGTTTCATTCTGGGCTGGAGAAAAACTCTCCCGGGAACAGCCTTTGGCTGCAGAGAATCAAGTCCAAAACGTGGCCAACAAAAACTGTAACTATAAGTCCAATCAAAGCAAGAGGAGGTAAATTAGTTTGGCAGGGTAAGAGAAGGAATTTCAGCCATGAAGGAAGGGCAGTAATTCAACATGGTTGGGAGGACACCAGGAATGCAAATAAGCAAAGTCAACACAAGATAGACTCATGTTTGTTCCCAGCAGCTGCCGCACTCGGCATGCATTTCTTTTAAACTCTCTTCCCAGCTGTGGCTAATGAAGGGAATCAGGGCCCTTTCCTTCCCCGCAAGCCATGCAACCCATATTGCTCCCTTCTCCGTTCCTTCCTGCGTGCCCTAGGATGAAGAGAGGGTGGGCCTGGGTCTTCCTCTGAACTCCCTCTCCCTTGTTCTACCCCTCCCCTGCTCTGGCCAGCCGGACATTGCCCTTCCCCAGTTTCCTCCACAGCTAACGGAGCCACACTCCCGCTCCCTGTCAGCTGTTCGTCTTCCTTCTCAGATTCAGACTCCGACAGGGGCATGACGCAGTTACCAATTCGATCATGGGGATGCTGCCATCGCACTGTATGAAAAAGAAGTCTCTTCTTGTCAGTGCCGTTGTAACCTGGAACGGTCGCTCAACAAACTGCCATAAATTGAGGGCTGCTGATATTTTGAATTTCTCTCTCTCTCTCTGTCTGTTTGTCTCCACCTGACTTCCAGGATACCCGCGCAGCGCAAGCAGCGTCTCACCCCGCGGCTACGTGCCCAGCTCTACCCCGCAGCAGAGCAACTACAACACAATCACGTCCAGCATGAATGGTTACGCGGGGGCCGCCATGACTGGCCTTGGGGTGCCAGGCTCGCCCAGTTTCCTCAACGGCTCCACTGCCAACTCCCCCTACGCCAGTGAGTATTGTGGCTGTTGGATAGAGACCGGCAACCGGACCCCGGTCGGATTCATTCCTCGCCATGGCTTCACACAAATGTTTCTGTGCAAATTTGCCGTTGGTTTTCCGAGCCGGGGTGAATGTCGAATGGAGAAAAAAAACCTTTGAAGGAGGGCTGTCGGTCTAAGGATCCTGTTTTTCTGCTGAGCTGGGTGGCTTGTTTTTTATTTTCAAGAATAATTCGAGGCAGCAAACCTATCCCAATGTATCTTTCTCCTCCTATTATCCCAACAACAACAACAACCCAGTGAGGTGGGTTGGGAATGAGTGGCCCAAGGACACCCAGCTGGCTTTCAGGGGCCATCCTCAAGGGAACAACCTTCTGAATGGACTTGATCCCTTCTGGGGGTGGGGGGGACTTCCTGGGTCGGGAACATTTCTTTCTAGCTCCTCCCTGGAAGACTCCAGTCCATTCCCCAAAACTGGACACCAGAGAAGACCTCGTGTAATGGTATAGAAGAGTGGAAGAGGAAGAGGAGGAGGAGGAGGAGGGAGGACTGAGAGGTCCTTGGTGCTCTCTGAGCCTGGTTGTTTTCTTGAAGATGTTTCATGGCCCAACTAGGGAACATCATCAGAGCCAGGAGGGAGTGGGGTTTGTGGAAAGGAGGAGGAGGAGGAGGAGGAGGAGGAGGAGGAGGAGGAGGAGGAGGAGGACAATGACTGTGGGGTCCTTGGTGCTCTCTGAGCTTTTCTTGCAGTCGTTACATGACCCAACTAGGTAACATCAGTAATGCTAGAAGGGAGTGGAGTGTGTGGAGAGGAGGATGGAGGAAGGAGGGATGGAGGAAGGAAGGAAGGAAGGAAGGAAGGAAGGAAGGAAGGAAGGAAGG